TTTTTCATTATAAACCCCATGAGATTAACTACTCACTGAAAGAAATGCAAAAAAAATAAATAAAAATAAAAATAATAAAACCGGAAAATTAACTACCTTAGGTAGCGTTCGTAGCTTAATAAATAACTCTAATATATGTATAGTATATGTATTCATACATTTCTCATTCATTACATAATAGGTCATGTAAACAAATTTTATTTCATACCAGTTTATGGCATATTTGCAAACGAGAATATAACATACAATGTATAATCAAGTATGAAACGCATATGAAATGTAGTTGTTCTGCTTATTTCCATGTCAATCATAATGTAAATATTCAGCATAAAGCATTCGTTGTAGTTGTACGCATGGCATTTGACTTGTTTCTTATTCTTATTTGTTTAATTTATGCAGTAGTTGTTCACTTAGTTGCAAGGGTTAAGGTAGGAGAATAATTTTTACAGATGTTCGTCGGAGAAGGAATCGAAACGGTCCATGGCCTTGGCGCTCGTCAGGGCTAACGGCGGATGAATAATACTTGCGTTCTGTTGTTGTTGTTGTTGTAGCAGCATACAAGTTCCCCAAAGAGTTTTTGGTGAGTGTTGCTGGAGTGAAAGTCCTTGGCCAAATATAAATCTGGGTCGTTCCGGTTACGTAGACCCGACTGTCGTGGGAACGATATTTGCGTTCTCTTACTATGGGGTTCCTATACCGGAGCTCTAAATTCCTTTGAGTCTGCTATATATGTATACACAGTGGCGGGAAAAAATGGATGAATGCTCTTTTGTTTTTAATATTTACAATGTTTTTCAAAAGCTATATTTTTTTTTTATAAAAATATGGTTCCTGCTTTAACAAAAACTATATAATCCACACTTTCAAACTTCATACAGAAGTTGAAAAAATTCCAAAAATTTTTATCTAAATTTCGAGCTCTTTCACCAAAGTTTTTAGACATTTTTTGGGTATGCAGTTAAAAAGCTTATAAAATCCTAGTAAAATAAGTGAAGGTTTTGAGCGGCTATAAAATCGCATTGATTTTTAATAATTTTTTTTTGCTGACGGCTTTTGCGGTTTTTTTCCTATAAATAGCGAAATTTAGGAAAACTGGCGTTGACTTTTTTTATTTTTTTCGCAAACGGTCTTGCGCATATTCTTCCACAAAAAATTCATATTTATATGGGAAAAGGTGCAAAACGCCGTCAACAAAAAAAAAAAAATAAAATAAAAGCAATGCGATTTTTTAGCCGCTCAAAACTTGCACTTGTTTTACTAGAATTTTATAAACTTGTTAACTGCATACCCAATAAATTTCTAAAAATACTGGTTAAAAAGCTCGAGATTTAAATAAAAATTTGAAAGTGTGATTCTGTTTCTGTTAAAACATGAACCATATTTTTCTAAAAAAATTAAGCTTGAAAAATATATATTGAAAAATATTAAAAACGAAACACCATTCATCCATTTTTGACCGCCACTGTATGTACATATGTACATCCATATGTATGTATTTATCTGCCTTAGGGCCGTTTGCACCATGTCTAGTTAACGCTAACTGGAGGTACATCCTTCAGTTAAGCACATCCACTGCTTTATCGATCACATGTTATATGATGGGTGTCGATAACGACGATAAAGATGTTTAACTGGGAGTTAGAATTAACTAGACATGGTGCAAACGGCCCTTAGACTGGGTCGCGAAAATATGTATGTTTGCAATTACACCTCGGACTTTTTGCCAGCTGATATAGAGAGAAGTTTGGGGTTATACAATTTCAAAATGTGATATATAGACCACTTAATTCTAATAACTGAAATTCTAAATACATTTGTAAGGTGGGATTTTTTCCTAGAAGTGTAACAGTAAATTAATAAACATAAAAACTTCAGCAAATGTCCACTCGTACTTATCAACGAAATTTACAAATGTACATACATATATCTGGCCAAGGATTTTCAGCAACATTCCCCAGAATTGCTTGGGGGGTTTTTATGCTGT